TAAAAGCCTATTTAAACTGCAGCGTCTCTGTATGCTGGTTTGTGTGTTCTCCAACACAACCCTCACAATGCACTCGCTCTCCCAATGGGGAGCTTACTTTGAATCTGGGTTACTTTGAATGTAAATTCTTCTATTTTGCTACTCTTTCATATAACTGGAGTGCTCCAGTAATGCACATGAGGTGAAGCAGCAGGATGAATTACATTTTAAGGCGTTGGGAAATATTATCTCCCAAACATATCTTCTGCACATCATTGGCAAGATGTGCCTCTGAATATGATTTTACATTTGAAAGAACATGGGGCAACAAATAGTCATTTCTCATACAAAATAATGCCATAAATGTTTAAAGAGTTATGATTATGCTAAATTATATATCTACTCTTCTGATAATACTCTCTACTGCCTCATTGCTCCCCAAATTAGTTTTTGGGGAGTTTTATCCAATAATAAGATGGAATTACAGCCATTTTATTTTACCCATTTTTGCAATAAAGCCACTGAATGTGTTAAACGGCACAGATGTTAATGGTTCCTTACGGTACAAGTTTGTATTGTCAAAAATCTGGGACATTTCAATCTCCTTTTAAATGCACAGCTTTCAAAGGGATATTTGAGACTTTTATTTCTATCAGTGATGTCCAGGGACAAGGCAGTTTGAACAAGAAGACAAAAACGAAACAACCCCCCACCAATTTGCACCACCCCTCACCCACAGCTGACCCTTCAAACCCTGGCTTGCATATAAAGTAATATTCAAAATCGATTAAAAATTCATACAGTCTACAAATGCAAGAGAGGAACAGTGCCTGAAAGATTTATGAAACAGATGCCATAGGTGTTGAGTTCCAGGCTTGTTCTGACTCAAAATGAAGTTGGCTACTAACTTTTCCCTGTGGGGAAATAAGATTTTGCAGGAAGTTAGCACCCACCCCTCTCCTAGAGAAATGAAATATTTTAGGAAATATTAAAAGAACAGAATATCTCCTCTAAATGGGAGGCAGAAACTCACCCCATCCCAACCTTTGTCAATGGGCCATTAAGGCCTGAGCCAGTCTATTCTATATAACAAAGATCTACCCCCTTCAGGCATAGCCATAGTAGGAATTGCCCAAAGCCCTTTCATTACATCATCACCCAGCAAGGCTCAACCAAACCTGGGACTCAAAACCCAACCTACAAAGTTATCCCTGCATGGCCCCAAAGGAGTCTGATAACCAATCAGAACACAAGCACAAATTCAAAAGCCCAGACACATTTTACCCCATTTTATGACCTTTCTTATCAGAATTGTTAAATGAATTCCTGCCATTGTTAAGTTAGTAACATGTCTGTTAAGTGAATCTGGCTTCCCTATTGACTTTGCTCATCAGAAGGTCTCATAGGTTGATCCCAAGACCCAAGGACATTGAAACTGTCATAAATACAGTACATGCCAAGTTGCCAAGTGTACAAATTTTGATTATGTGACCACATGGATGCTGCAACTGTCATAAGTGTGGGGAAATGGTCATAAGTCACTTATTTCAGCGCCGTTGTAATTCTGAACTGTCACTAAATGAATGGCTGTAAGTTGAGGACTATCTGCAACCTTCTCTCCCTCCAAAGCTCTGTTCCAAAAGGCACAAGAAATGGGCTGCAGGAGAAAATCCATGCCTGTTCAATCCGTTTGGAAAGGCACCCTGAAAGGGAGAGCTGCAAAGACCTTTCA